TAAATATTCGTATCTTTTTACAGAATTTTGTCTTTTGGTTTTTAAAATTACGGTATGCGAAAATAATGTTTTCGGAATTAATTAAATAAAATTAAACAAGTAACAAGGCACAAAAAGCTTTTAACTGACTTAATGAGCTCAATGTTTTAATCATTTTACGCATACAATTAGTAATTAGGGTATATTGCAGGATTATAGTATATTTTACATTTCAAATACACTTAAAGAGGCTTCGAGGCACTGTAGTTCTTTTAAGTCACAGTGAGTATCCTACACACTGAATTTCAAGAGCAGTTCTTAACTAGTGTTACTAGTTTGTAAGGGAACCAAATATCATTAATATTATGTTTTATAAGGACTAACGAAAAGTTTATTAATAATAAAAATTCTCTACTTTTTGAAGATTTAAACTTTATATAACTTTCAACGGTTAAGTATAAAATTATATTATCTTTTTCAACAATATTGGTTGGTAAAATAATATATAATACGCATACCCGTCTGGTGGCGACAAGGACTACTCCTCCCCCTTTTGCTTCTCAAGTAAGGCGCACCAGTAACAGAAGGCACGTCTTCCTCCACGGCTTCAACTTCACCTGCGCGACGCCCCCCTGCCCCGAGTTCGATACTCACAGACCAGGAAAAAACGAGTATCTGGTTGATGGCTCAACCACGAATAAAGTTTCAGCTACGGAGAGTAGGGAACACGGCACCTCACAATACCGTCAGTCGTCTCCCCACGCGGCCCCACCACCACAGCATCAGCAGTGCACCAACGTAGAGTCGCGGGAGATAGGGTAAATGTTGCATCGTTATACCAAAACTACTCTCCCTCCGCGACTCCACCTCGGCTGCGGCAGTGGGGGGAGGCACTCAGGCCAGCCTTTTGTGTTTCTCTTTGTTCACCGCGGCGACCAAGCCACGGCTACTAAGCCTTCCCCCCCTTGTCACGACAAGGCGGGAACCCGTTCGGAGGGGATGGAGGAGGCATATATTCAGCAGTGGACTTTTAGTACTTATAGGCCGTAACGATAAGGGACTCAAAGGAGGGAAGGAATAAAACAGAAGATGCTGATGACGTAATATAACTCAATATTAACGATTTCCAGATTTTTCCCCTTAACTTATGTTTTGCTTTTAGCCAAATTTCATAATTATAGATTAATAGAAGTACATCATAGGTTTTGATGAGGGAGTTGTACGAGTTCTAAGAATCAAATTATGTGACAAAATTGCTGCATCTTTTGAATGAGTTGATATGCAATTTTTTTTTAATAAATATGAAGTAAAACTTGCATTAGTATTTAATAATACTTTAATTTTTTTATAAACGTGAAGTCGAATACTTATGATTAGTAGGTACTGCAGCCCATGCACACACTTGATATCTCTTTCTCCGTTTCTAAGAAAAAGTCTTCACAGATGGACAGACAAACGCATAACAAAGTGTGATCCCATAAAGAATCCGGTTATTTCCTTTTAAGTTAAAATAAAAAAAAGCTTAATACTAATAAAGTAAGTCATAATTCAGTAGAATGAAAGACTTATTAGTTTTTTTTGTATCCGAAAAACAAATCCTTAGGCAACCGACCGAAAAACATCCATTACATTCTGGTCAATTTATTTACTAATAGAAAGCATTTCCCTTTAAACGACGATCTATTTTGATGTAATCGTGTTTTGTCTGTAAATTATATGACCATTTTATTTTGAAATAAAAGTAAAAGTACTTATTAATTTAAAGGAATAAATGTAATTGTTTTTGGGTCACTAATTATAAAACTGGCTAGAACAACACCGTATCACTACAACAACCTGTTAAACTCACTGTTGGGTCTATTGATCTATTTAAAAAATACGTCAGCCGATCATTGATAAATACAACAATATGAATGACTAAAGTTCTTTTGTTTTCATTCAAATCATTCCGAGTAACTTTAATTCGTCGAAACACTGTCTTAGTATCGAATCCAGAAAATATTATGTAGAAATTATTTTCTTTTTAATTTTGAAGTCTATTTTTACCTTTTATAATACCAAATTACCATAATATTGCTTCATAACAAAGAGCCCTGTCTTAGCCCAGCTGTGGAGGACATCAGTTTGAAAACGTTAATCCCAATTTTTTATATATACATAGAAATAATGCAAGTACGATTTTTTCCCATTACCTATTTGTATTTGTCCTATTCGAACATTTTTTCAGAATTTTTTTGTTTTTGGGCTACTATTATAAAACTGTCTATTCAAAACATCCAAATTTGATCCAAAGCGCACTTTTTAATCTATTTTAATACCTACCGAACGTATGGTAACCGTAGAATACTATAATACATACATAAATGGTAATGATATAACCCTTAGCAGTGCTGTGCGATCGTGTAACTCTGGTTGCAATCGTTTGCCGGTGGAAATTACTTCACAGCTACATTCAGCTTCACCATCATTACCACTACAATCGTTCAGAGTCCACTGCTGAGCATAAGCGTCCCCAGTGATTGCTTCATAACGGGGATGTTTGTTCTAGTGTTGGTTAAGGCAGTTTTTCTTTCTATTTCTTATCAAGAAAACGCTGCTACATATCTGCTGGTAGGTTTTCCTCTGTCACCGCTTACGACGCCCATGGGACGATATGTGATGGTGGATATTCTTACACCGACATTATACGGTGTAAATTATAATAACATATATAATAACATTTATATCAAATAAAAAAAGGGAAACAGACGTCAAAACGAAGCCATATGCTTTTAGGGTCACAGATTAAATTATCTTACCTAGAGTAGCATAATCGCACTACGGCTACGTAGACAACACCTGCTACATGGCCTGCATTCTGTATTCAGTGCGTGTTAAACCAGGCGATGTGACTTCTTCCTACAATTTCAAATATTTCAACTGATGTTACAACGGCCATAGCACGCACACGTACTACTCATGTATCTGCACTGCGTCCTTTATGCAATATGATGTAAGATAAATTTAAATATATTTTGTATATTTTTGTACTTGAAATTGTTATAATATTATTTAGTAATATAAAAATAATATTTATTGGTTGTAAGTGCATAAGACAGTATTTAAAATAATAACAAATTGTGATACGTGTACTCATTGTTTTGTATCAATATGGATTATTGCTTAATGCTCTTACATAATATAAAAACTATGTATAAATCTAATGATTTATTAAATTTACGCGAACATTACACATTGAATAAAACTATTATTTACGGATTTTATCGCGTTTAATTCAACTTTAATTTATTTTTATTATCCCGACGTTTCCGACCGATATCTAAATGGTGAATCTCACCATCATCCTTCATAGTTAGCTACCGTAGGTAAATCTTTGTTACAGAGAGCACGAGGGATTTGTGACAGAAAACATCTGGCCGCCGAGCTTCAGCATGTCAAGCAAGTATTGCAAGACAACAAGCTTCGGGTCCCGCGCCTACGTCACGGTGAACGAGTGAAGCCGGCCACAATCGAGCGCGCGCCTGCTGTACTACCGTATGTTAGAGGAGCCACAGACAAGATTGGCTACATCTTGAAGCGAGCGTCCATTAAAACATACTACAAGCCGCCGAAGAAGATTAGTCAATTTTTACCATCCATCAAATGCAATATTCCTCTACAAATGGGTGTACAAGCTAGATGTGAATGAGATCTATTAAAACCCACGTGAAGGAACATATAGCTGACGTGAAGCACCGACGCTCCGGGAAGTCTGCAGTCTGCGAACATGTTCAAGATCGTCCCCACCCTTACATTAGATTTGATAAACCACAAATCCTCGCAAAAGAATTCGCAAAGAACGAAAAAGTTCGAAAACCGATTCCTACCAAGGATGATACGCGAGGCTATTGAAATTAAAAAACCTCCAAATTTCAATAGAGATGATGGATGGGTGCTGCCAGCTGCTTGGGATCCTATAATTTACAAAATTAAACCCAAACCCAAGCATACCACTGCAAGATTTCAAGATACTATAAGCTCATTTTGCATAAATCGGACCGAAAATTAATATTCAAAAACTGAAGGTAGCCGGACTAACTATGACATTGGGACGTCAAACATCTCAGTCCCCCCCCGTGACCACGGGTGCTGTAAAGAACCCGTGTCGGGATAATAAAAATAAATTAAAGTTGAATTAAACGCGATAAAATCCGTAAATAATAGTTTTATTCAATATGTATAAATCTATCTATACCAACCAATAGTCCATTAGTAAGAAATAAATAAAAAGTACAGAAATAAATAAAACACACACAAGAAAAGTGATGTTTCTTTCCTTACAATTAAGAGAATACCTGCTGCTTTATAATAATAATTCATATATATCTTTATATAATTTATTTCGTTTATTCTATTATGTTAAACGTGGAAAGCGCTGGGGGCTCGTGGTGTGTGCATTCTTACTAACCTTTATAATAGAATCCTGAGCGACCGAATAATGCCCGATCAGTGGCGGCTTAGTATAATAACGCTGGTCCACAAGGGTAAAGGGTCCGTTCAGGATTGCGGTAATTACCGCGGTATAAAGGTGACGTCACACACCATGAAGCTCTTCGAGCGCTTTGTTGACACCAGGATCCGACAGGAGTGTACAGTATCGGACTCCCAGTACGGTTTACAACCAGGACGCGGTACCTAGGACCCTATATTCGTCCTAAGGATCCTCATGGAGAAGCACAGGGAAAAAGAATATGCCTCTGCATTTTTTATTCCTAGACCTGCAGAAGGCCTTTGACTGTGTTCCTAGGGAGATGATCTGGTGGGCATTGCGGTCGAAGTTGGTACCAGAGACCTACGTGGAAATCGTACGTGCCATGTACCGCAACTCCGATTCAATAGTCAGGACCGTTGTTGGTGATACCAGCCCCTTCCCCATAACCGTAGGCGTGCATCAGGGCTCCGTCTTAAGCCCCTATCTCTTCAGTGTGATATTAGACGAACTGTCAGCCAGCGTACAGAAACTACCGCAGCCTTGGCTGCTTATGTACGTTGATGATATCGCACTGGTGGATGGGGACAAAGGACGGCTCACCAGACGCGTGCACGCATGGAGGGAGGCGCTTGAGAACGGCAGGCTGAAGCTAAACGTGGCGAAGACGGAGTACATGGCCTGCAACAGCACAGATCTGATGTCTCTACGTATAGGCGACAATACCGTCGAGCGCACGGATAACTTCAGGTACCTCGGATCTGTGATTGATGCGTCCGGGGACATCGATCGCGACATCAAGGCCCATATATCAGCAGCCTGGGCAAAATGGCGCGAGGTGACGTGTGTCATTTGTGACCCCAAAATGCCGGTCAAGCTGAAGGGACAGGTCTATAAGACCATCATAAGGCCTGTCCTTACGTACGGCAGTTAGGCGTGGCCGGTGCTGGAGCGACACCGGCAGTTGTTGCATGTCACGGAGATGAACATGCTACGGTGAATGTGTGGCGTCACGCGGAAAGACCATGTACGGAATACATACATCCGCGGCAGCCTCCATGTCCGTGACATTGCTGACAAGCTGCAGGAAAGTCGCCTCCGCTGGTTCGGCCACGTCTTACGACGATCGGCAAGCTACGTGGGAAACAAATCTGGACATGACACCTGGTACCAGGAGTAAAGGACGGCCCAAGAAACGCTGGCTTGATGTCGTGCAGGATGACATGCGCGCCAATGGGCTAGTTGTGAGGGACGTCGAAGACCAGGGAAAGTGGAGGAGGAAGTGTAGGAAAGCGGACCCTGGGTTCTCCCGCGTTGGGCGGGATGAGCAACCGGGATAAACGCTAGGTAGAAGAAGAAGAAGAAGATTGTGTTTTATTTAATTGTTTCGTGTACTAACATTAGTTCTTAAGTTTTATTTGTATTACTAACATGCTATGGACTTACGATGCCTGAAAAATAAAACATTTTTATTTTATTTTATTTATTGTTTACTTATTAACACAAAACTATCCCAGTTCTAAGGATGCAGCAAAGTAATTGGCGCCGCTGACGCAACGTGTTATCCTTATTTTATTAGTAAGAAGTACATCTTCCGAAATACATTTCGCCACTATAAATCCATGAAATAGAGGCTACAAAAGTCTACTGCTAAACATAGGCTTCCCCAAGAATTTCCTCATAGAGGAGGTGCTGTCATGCTTACCACGCTTGGCCAGCGTGGTAACCATGGCATCAGGCAAATGAAGTCATCTCGTTAGCTTTCATCTTCATTGAACATAAATCTTGTGGTAGCATCAGTCGATGACAAAGATGTTTTAAGAACTATTGTTATGTAAAAGAAATATTGTAAGTGTTCGGTAATGGACACTTCATAAATTATATATTGCCGTTAAGTCTCTGAAATTGTTATTGTTATGTGGTAAACCAACAAATTTGTATGGATTATTCAATAAACACAAAAAATACCATACCAATACCATAGAGTATAGAGGTAAGGAGGACAATCTGCCATAGGAGAATAGTTGAAAATGTGTCCATCTGTAAGCAGTAAATAACAGTTCAAAAACTCTCCACAACAGCGTTTGAGTAGTTACAGGGTATAAATCGCCGTAAAGTACGTTGAGAGTGGTTTTGAAAATAAAAATTTTGAAAGCAATAAAATAATTATTGTAAAAAGAATTATGGTGAAAGTCTGTGCAATAAAAAAATTATAAAAAGTTCTTTAAAATCTAGACTGTAGCTATAGTGGCGCCACCTTTATTTAGCGCTTTCCTATGGTCACTTTTTTATACAGAGTCTGTACTCCTTACCTCTACAATCCATAACCAATACACCACTACGTTCAGTAGTGAAACAGAACAATCAGCCAACTTGAGGTTGGATCAACACTAAACAACAATATTAACCAAGCAAAATGTTTAAATATTTGCCACAAAATTCAAAACATTTTGCCAGTAAAATAAAATGCAAACATCTTACTTACAATGAAGCTATACTAGTAAAGACGTCTAGTTAGAGTCTGGTCTTGACTCGCTGTCTGCATCTCAATTGTAACTATGAGGCTAGAAAAAAAAGAGTTCTCTAATTCTGGATAGTGCGGCTATGAATTCGTTTGTATTGTTGACAATATGTTTATAGAATACTTTAAGCAAAAAGTGCTTCTTACTTCTCCTGCAAAGATTAGTGTAATACAAAGGGAATTCTCCTGTAAGTCCTAGATTTTACGAGTAACAAGTATCGTGTAAACATTTAATTATTTACAATTAGATAAAGTATTGGTAGTTTACTAGGTGGTAAGACTATTTTTCAGCCTAGCAGTCCGTCTGAGTTCTGGGTTACAGTGTTTGCACGGCTGTATTTCGGTCTGTAGGCATAGCTAGTCAGTTTAATTACAATTACAATTAGAGGATGTAAAGTATCCCGTCTCAATCCTTAAGGGTGATAATGCATCTGCAGTGTTCTTTCTATAAATTTATCTGCAGGTGTCCATGGACTTCAGTAGCCACTACCATGTGAACTGTAAGTTTGTTTTTCACTTCAATTTGAAGTAGGAAATAACAACGTTAAATAGGTTTTTTAAATTATTCCGTTTAATTACCCTAAGAAATCCACCCTAGGGTGGATACTCGGAAAAGCATGTTCGTTTATTCACCCTAGACGGGGTGGATAATCGGAATTCACTTTTTGAATGTTGTTCCGCCTTTTCACTTCAAGTACAGTTCAACAGAAAAATATCCATACTTTAACTTTATTGATTAATTTTTAATAAAAACAAAAATAATGTTACGTATTGCATTTAAACCAAATAAAATTTTGTCGTTTTAAATAATAATAAGTAATTTATAAATACTTCAATATGTCCAGGATTAACACTAATTTCATTAATGAGTAAACGTAATTGTATACCCTTAATAAATTTGTTTCTTTTTAAACAACATTTTTATATATTATTATTACTATTGCAATCATTTTCTAAGTTTCTTTCTTACAACATATGTATTAACGAAAAATGGGAATTTTGTGCAAGAACTTTAAAAACTTTACTTAATTTGGATGTTTGTTTTCAATTCCATTTGAAATAGTTTTATGACAAGCTTCTAATGAACTTGTAATTATGTGAGGCACTCCAAATAAATTCTAAACAGCCACATAATATTCATCCTTGAGCCATGTATGCTAATAGTATTTCACATATGCCATCATATTATTATCATTATTCAAAAGAGACATTACAAAGATCCATCATGTTTCTTCAGGCGAGCGAGAAAATCGGAAGAAAAATAATATACGCATTCCGATTATCCATCGCGTCTGAGGTGGATAAACAAAAGCGCGTTTCCGAGTATCCACCCTATGATGAATTTCTTAGGGTGGATAAACGGAATAACCATTTTTTTCGTACAATAATCTTAGAGCGTCATTGTGAAAATATAATTAAAGTCATGATAAAACGAAAATGAACATTAATAATGAAATTAATATTGAGCTTTCATAAAAACAAAAACTTCTGTTTACGTCTAAAGCTGTTCTGTTAAAATTTTCCCGCCTTTATAATGTTAACGGAATAATTATTATGATCAAATTTAACTTTGCGTCGAAAGCAAATTGTATTTAAAAGTCTTTTGTGTTAACAACAATTCTTCAATTGTCAACGGTAGCATCTGAGAATAATAATTAGTATTCCGAAGTTGATAAATTTGTGATTCAGTTATTGTTGGTTAATAAGAATATTTATTGTTTTAATATTAAATCATCAAAGGTCCGTTATGGACCACTTGTGTAGCAAGTACACTATTATACAATAAAAATATTTTATAGGTTGTTAAATTTATTAAACATATATTCAATATAGAATTATTGATTTTATAAAAATAATGGTAATAAACTAAATCTGGTACACGTCTCATTTAGCCGAACATTTCATTATTGATACGGTAGTAGATCAGATAAGGCCGGGTCCTCATTTGATCAACTTAATATAATATCTTGATCAGGCCCATAGTTTCAATTTTTTCGTATCACTAGGCGTTAGCGTGTCAAAAGTGTCAGAAACGCGTCCATACTTAACTTTTTTTTTTGAGCAGAGCGAGCGAAGCGAGCGGAGCTCCCATGGCGCAAGAAAAAGATTCTTTGAAATCTATCTCCTCCGTAACCCATAGGCCAATTTACATGATTTTTTTGCAATATTTGTAGCTCAACTCAGATAAGATTTGTAAACAATAAAAATCTGAATTTGTCTAAAAGATATTAAAAAATAACCAAAAACTAAATTGTCTTTGGGAGTGTACATGTAAAACAAAAGCACGCGCTTTTGTAATAACTAAATAAAATAAAAAAAGATGGCTACCAGTCATGCTACGACCATAACATATCTGCAGCGTGGCTCTACCATGTAAAAATGGCTCTACTACATCGTATATAATCGTATCATGTCAGCATATTATTTGCATGACGTACTTTATATGTGGACGCTAATAATTTTTCTTCGATTCTCGTATCTAATAAATAAGTCGGCTCAACCGGGGTAAAACCACGCTCTCGCATGATACTAGCTTATAATAACAGCTTAATGCTGCTGTGTTTCGTATATTGAGTGAACCGGAGACCCTTGTTCTACAAACGAGGCATTCTATGTTAGTCTTCAGAGTTGACATCAGCATTTTGAATGTTAATTGAAGATAAATGTAGATGTAGATCTCTATGGAGCATCCCGTGAACTGTATGATCGTTTGTTACCTTTATTCTAATAAAAAATCACGTAGTATCACACGCGATATAGGGTTTCTTCTGTTTCTATTTTTATTTTTTGTTTTAAACGTAACACATACTCGAATTTTTCCTGCATCGTGGACGAGTTTAACATTTTTAAGTTGCACTTGGTCAAATATTTCCGAGCAATTATTTTTTATGAGGACTCTACAACAATTAAATCATCTCTCAACAAAGTTCAACTCCCAATTTATATTACTATCAATATCATTTTCGTAAGACAACGTACCTATTCACGAGTACAAAAAATCAGGTGGTGGTAGAAATGTTTGTGATAGTGGTAGTGGACAGTGATTGTGCTGTTGATGGTGGTAGCGGTGGTGGTAGTAATGACAGTCATGGTGATGCTGGTCGTGGTGGTGGTATTAGTGGTGGCGGTGTTGGTGGTGGTATTCACTACCCACCATCACCAACGATACCACAAGCACCACCACCAACACCAGCACCACTACCACTAATACCACCTTCACCATTGTCTGGTAATTGTATTATTTTTCTCTCAAATTATTATACATACTGGTTGCGCAGAAAAAGAATCGGGTACTCTTATATATTTTGTTCGGTTATTCATTGTTCGCCAGTGTCTCCCCTTCCTGTATCCACACATTTTTTCCACACGCACTGAAGGGGGAGGCGGGTCTAAAATGTGGGGCCATCTTTTCG